AGAGCCGATGAACGAAGAGAGCTGAAACGAAGCAGAACCAGAACCTGACAAACAACAAGACACTCGGTGTGTTCAGAATCTGGAAACTGGATTGCTTGCTTGTAACGTAAATAAACAATCGACCGAATGGCTGGGAAAGAATTCGACGAAGCAAACCATCATCATCACCAGCTTGCCATCACCACCATCTTTTGATACTCTCACCCGTCTGTGTGTCATTGGCCATCAACTGATCACCGCCTAAGTAGAAGTTTCAACTTTTCAGCTCCACTACCACTACTCGCGGTAAGTGTGTTTGTTTCTACATTCATCTTTCTTTCTCTTCTCTTCTCTTCTTTTTCTTGAATTCGGGTGGGCCACCCAAAACTCGGGCGCCTTCCTGGTTCTGTCCGTCAGCGTCAATTTATAGCGCCCAATTAGTCATCCCGTGCTCTCTTTCTCAGTTCCAAAAGAGAAGAGAATGGGAACTAGAAAAAAATAGAAAAACAAAAGCCGTTTGCCAGGGCACACCCTGGCTAATTGTTCTGAGCCATCAGTCTCACTCTCTCGCGCCTTTTTTTCTACCAAATTCTCTCTAACAATAACACAACCGCCAAATTCTTCTTCTTTTTTGCTGCCTAACGCCCAAGATTCTTGACGCCCTGAATGAGCAGTGAAAAAAGAAAGAGAGAGAGAGAGAAAGAAAGGGGCTCCACTTTTACTGATTGGACTAGTCAGTGTATAAATTATTCTGGTCAGTGCATCGATCGGAAGGAGGAGAGGAAAAAGAAAAGAGAAGAGAATATTCTGCAGCAGAGCCAGCAGCAACAAAGGTCCTCCTAATTAAGGGCAATTGCCAATTCACCATCCAGTGCCAGCCATCAAAACTTGACAGCGCACTAATTTTATTGCCATCAATTGAAGACGAAGAAGAAGTGTCTCACATCACATTGCATTATCGTCATCACACTTTCATCATCGAAACTTCTTCCTCTTGATGCTCATCTTCATTGACAGCTGATACCAAAAATGTCCGTGTACTTTCACCACCACCTCAGTGCTACCGCCACCACCACTACTGCCAACAATGGTGCCATTGCTAATTGTGCTCGACTTCGAACAGCAAAGACTTCAGCGGCGGCTACAACGACCACATCTGCACTACGGACACCAGCGAAAACTGTGAGTGTGTTGAGAGAAAAATGAAAATAGAAAGCAGCGGAGGGAAAGAAAGAGGAGAGGAGAGGCAATTAACGACGATTGTTGTTCCTTAGTGTTCTCCTCTTCTCATTTGAGAGCTAAACTGTCAATCAATTAAGCGAAAGATAGAACGTTGCTTTCGGTGGTGGTGGTGGTGGTGGTGGTGGTGGTGGTGGTCACGGCTCGTGACGATTCCCAATTGGACGCGGGGGAGGGGAGGATGCAAATGCTGAGAAAGATGAGAGAGAAGAAAGAGAAATGTTTGCCATCATTAGAAGAAGAAGAACGGCAGAAGTGTTTAATTGCAGCATCAGCAGCAGCATTTCGTATCCTCATCCTCAACTCATCCTCTGCCACATTCATCTTTGCCTCGGCCTGTTGTCTTTGGTGTGTGGATCGTGGATCGAGTTACACCAAAGCAGACGAAGAAAAGTTGCTGCCTGCCATAGATCACGAGCTGCTCAACCGGAGAAGAACTCACCAACTGGCAAAAAGTCTCTCTGCTCGAGTATTGTTAACATCCCACCGCCACCAACGCCACCACCACAAAACCAAAGAGCAATCGTCGAGGCAAGAAGAGCTGTTGCAATTTCGCTCATGAAGCTGTTTTACCTGCCGTCCGAATGAAGCGGAAGATCATGAAGCTGCGCGGCGGAACTTCCTGGATTCGGGACCTCTTTATTGCGCCCATGGTTTGTGTGCTTTGCTTTTAAAACTCTTCGTTTTTTCTAGGGTTCGTCAGCAAATCAATGCAAATCGAGTCCAGTCGATGTTTACCATATTCAGAGATTGGAGGATTGTACTCGTTTCATGCTTCGCGCTTCATTATCATCGCAAGTGGCGCAGTCACATCTGCTCCAGAGAAGAGGAAGAAAAAAGAAGAGGACAAGAGAAATGGAAATCGCAGTCGATTGCAGTCGTCGATCGATCCTGCTCCGGTGTTGGCCACCACTACACCATTGTTTTGTTCGGCGAGCATCTGCTGCTGCTGCTGCTCTGCAGTGCGAGGATATCGTCGTCTTCACCTTCGCCAACTTTTTGTTTTCCATTTTCTTCCTCTTCGAAATGTTTGAACGCGTCAAGTTTATCACCAAGTACTCGCCGCACAGGATTCCCTATGTCAGTGTCGTGCAGAGGCAGGAAAAGTGCCTGTACACGGCTTGTTAAAAACTTTTCTTTTACTGATCTTTTTCCTCCTCTCTTCAACTCTCTTCTTCAATTTCATCAAACCTAACCTTCTTTTTCACCCATTTTCTCCCCTAGGCCGACGAGGAGGTCTCCACCGACCTGAATGCCGTCACCTCTGACGTCGACCTTCCCATTGCGATGAACAAGTACGGCGGCAGCTCTTCGGCCGCGAACAACAATGTCGGCGGTGGGTCTTCAGGAGCGATTAATCGAAGTCGAAGCGGTGGCGGTGGTGGCCAGCCAATGGACATGAACATGTACGCCACGAGGAAGACCATCGCCCAGGGCATCATGGACCTGGGGCTGATGTGCGCCAATGCCTCGCAGCTGAAGTGTGAGTGACTTTTCGAAATAAGCCTCGGAAAACCTTTTTCTTAATAAAAATCTTTCGCAGATGTTCTGCTAAACGCCGGCCAGCACCGCTACTTTCAGGTGACCATCAGCCTGATTGTGGTCTCCATTCTCCTTCAGGTGGTGGTGGGCATCATCTTCATCGTCCTCGGCCGCCTCAACATCAACTACGTCGGCGACCGGCGGCGGGCGGACATGATGAACAACGCCAGCGTCATACTCATCTTTCTGGTCACCGTGGTCAATGTTCTGATCACCGCCTTTGGCCCCAGTGAATCGTTTGCCCATCTCTACGGCGGTCAGGGAGGACCGGGAGGTGGCAGCTCCAGCAAACTGACCTCCTGGACCAACTACTACGGCGACCAGGGGCCGGGCAATACCTCAACTTAGTGAAGAGAGGGGGCATCAAGATTCACTCATCACAATTTCATCAACTTCATACGATCACACTTTATCATATTTACACAAAAATAAAAATGTAGCACTGAGAGAAGAGAGTTTACAACTGTTGAAATAAAAATAGATTTAGAACCGCTTTCTGTTCTGTTCTGTTCTGTTCCCTAGAGATCGGCGTCATCTAGGGGCAGCATCTCCTCGTCGGAGATGTCGTACTCATCGTCGTCAATGTTGTCATCGTCGGCATCGTCACCGTCGTCCTCAACGTCAGCTTCGTTGCCCGTGTCGATGACCACTTTCTTCTTCTTCTGATCATTCTCATCAGTTTTGGTCTTCCGTGGCTGTGGTCTCTTGAACTCCCCGGTGGCCTCGGCCTCCACCGCCGCCCTTCGCTTCTCCACCTCTGCCCGCGCCCGGTCCTTCTCCTGCAGCTTCCGTTTCACATTCTCCTCCTGCTGCTTCTTGCGGGACAGCTTGAGGAAGGCGCGTTGCTCGGCGGCCGTCTTCAGCTCCTTCACCTCCTCACGGGTCTTGGTGATGTAGGCGTGGTGCAGTACCTCGCCGCCCATGATGCCGTTTTCTATTTTCACCAGCTCGAGCTTCATCCGCGGGCCCAGTTCGATTAGTCTGTGGAGATGAAAAGAAGAAATCGGTCAAAATAGAACTTCAAAACATCATTCACAACAAACCTGATGGAGCTCTTCTCATTCAGCAGATTGCCCCTGGTGTGCATCCGCTGCGGCAGCGTCACATGGCGGCTGTCCTCCACCTCGTCGGCCATCTCACCCTCGGACTCGGTAAAGCCGGCGCCATCCCTTTCCATCGCCTCCTCAACACTTCGGAAGGCGCCCAGATCGGGCACCCTCTTCCCCGTCAACAGCTTCCGCACCGTTCCCGTCAGCCCCACCGGTTTCACCTTGATGGCGTAGTGGCGAAAGTCAATCAGCCCCGTCTCCGGATCGGCATTGAGCAGGACGCAGCGGCGAATCTTACTGAGCTGCACCTTGTGGATGTCAATCGAGGGGAACATGTTCCGCCACATGGAGGTGGTCAGCTTCGTCTTCACGTCATCTTCACCGGCTGAAGCACCGGAAAAGCCATTTAGAACCAGTAGCGGCGAGGCGTGGAAAAGGCTCGGATTGACGTGCGGCTTGCGCATCGAGGAGATGACGTCGTGCGTCAGCGTGTACTCCACCACCTTGTAGGTGATGGTGGGGCCGCGCGGGAGGCGGGCCAGCCGGAAGTAGGGGCTGTTGTTGGTGCGGGTGAAGATGGCCAGGTGGGTGACGTTGAGGTAGGAGCTGATGCTGACGAAGTCCTTGATGACGTTCTTCTTGCGCATCTTCAGGTGCGAGGCGGTGAAGGGCTCCATGACGGCGCGAAAGTCGGTCATCAGCTGGTCGATGTGCTTGCCGACGTCGCCGCGCTTGATCACGAAGGAGTGCGGGGCCTTGACCAGCTCCTCGGGCTCCTCCTTGGATCCCTTGATCTGTGTTTTGTTTTGAGTAGAATGCGAGTTAGAAAACATTGACATTGAAGGAGAAGGTGTGAACGCTTACCTTTCTCTTCTTCCGTCGATTGCCGCCCATTCTTTTCGTTAAATGTGAAGTGTGTTCTTTAGGGGATGCAAAAGAATCCCAGAATTTAAGAGATCCAAAACAAAAAAAAACAGTATCCCTCGCTGGATTCTAAATCAGCTGCTCCAGCTCAGCGTGCACTGCAAACCACGTGCTAGTGTCCCATTCGCAGAGCACGTGACACCCTGATTTGTTGACAGATTTTTCTTCTGGCCGCAAACGCTACATCAAATCCTCAAAATGTCCGAAGATATCTGCCATAAACCACCGCAGCCAGTGTCGGTGGAAGTACCTAAAGAAGCGACTGGAGAAAATGGGCAAACACAGAAGGACAACAACAAAGCAGTTGAGCAGCAGCAGCCAAAGATCTCAAAGAACGCCCTGAAGCGGCAGGCAAAGTTGGAGAAGTGGAACGCCACCAAGGCCGACCGGCGGAAGCGCGAGAAGGCAAAGCGGAAGGCGAAACGGGCCCAGCTGCGAGAGGCAGGCGTCCCCGTTCCTCAGCTCAAGCTCCGCAAGGACCAGCTGGTGAGGCAGGCGGACTCGCCCTGTAAGGTGGCCCTCGTCATTGACTGCGACTTTGCCGAGTACATGACGGAGATGGAGCTGAAGAAGCTCTGCAAGCAGATTAACCGGTAAGACAAGGCTTCCAACTTAAAAAGGCCCGATTTCTAATCTCCCAATTTCCTTTGAAGGTGCTACGCAGTGAACAAACGCAGCACCAAGCCGGTGCAGCTCTTCTTCACCTCAGTCACCGGCGAGGTGCGGAAGATGATGGACCGCTACCAGACCGGCTACAAGAGCTGGGACGCCGTCGTCACCGAGCGCCATTGGGAGGAGGTCTTTAACTTTCAGGCCAAGGCTGCTAATGGGCCCGAAGAAGCCAAAGTAGAATCCAAAGCAGAATCCACCGAAAATCCCTCGAAACGGCGGATCGTCTACCTGACCGGCGACTCGCCGAACAGCCTGGAGGACTGCGCCGCCCTTCAGGCGGCCAACGAGGGCGTCTTCATCATCGGCGGCCTCATCGACCACAACCGCCACAAGGGCCTGACGCTGGAGCGGGCGACGACGCTGGTGGGCCTCGAGCACGCCCGCCTGCCCATCGGCGAGTACATCAGCATGAAGCAGCACCTCATTCTCGCCATTCCGCACGTCTTCGAGATTATGCTCTACGCGGCCAATGGGACGCTGGGCGACGGTGTCGGCTGGGCGGAGATCTTCCACCGGGTGATTCCACAGCGAAAGCAGGCAGGTCCTGGGGTTGGTGGTGATAATGAGGGTGATAAGAAGGAAGAGGAAGCTAAGGTCGAGGAAGATTGAACACACAGAGCTAGGAATTGATTTTAAATGTACTGCATTTTATTTTGGTTATTTGTACAAATACAACTTTTCATTATCCTTCTTCCGACGACGACACGACAAATGGATACCTGGAAAAGAGAAACGAAAGGCGATGTTACTAACTTTTTATGATACAAATGCGAACCGCGAAACTTCTCACTTGCTGACATAAGTTAATCGTACTTTAGCATACTTTGTTGACCTGTGCCGTGATTGAATGAGTGCACAGACAGGCTCAAAGAGCATGCGGAAGGTGAAAGAGCATCCGATTAAAAAATTAAAAACTTACCGGAAGAAAACTAATCCTGAATCCACAAAAATCCTTTGAAAATGTGTTTTGGTGCGGCCACGCTTTCGGCGTGCCCTGAAGCAGCACGAGCAGGGGCGGCAGCGCCCCCTGCTCACCCGGTAAGCAGCGCCACCACAGCTGACAGTGAAAACGGCGGCGGTGGCGGCTGCCGTCGTCGCCGAGTATCAGTGCGTCGGTTTGCGTGCTGCTGCTGCTGATTACAAAGAGTCTCTCTCTCTCCCTCTTCCTCACGTCTCATTTCAAGTTCTATTTTTCGAAGGCGATTTCGCGTTGATTGTCTCCCATTTTTTCCGTTGTCTCCAAATCATCGACACCAATCTCCGTTTTGACGAAATATTCTCATTATCATCATCATCATCATCATCATCGACGACGACTTGCCGAGTTTTTAGATCACTTCTCCTCTCTTTTTAGCAGTGAGTCAACTGAGCGCGAAGCCTCTGCAAACAACTCAGATAACAACTCCGCCGCCGCCGTTCCTTCCAATTGCTACCCTTTCAACTGAAAAACCTACCAATGAACACCGATCGCCGTCGAGGACGACGCTCCTCGGACCTGCACCTGAAGAGGCGGCCCAGCGTCTCTCGGGCAAAGGTCGAGGAGGAAGAGGACGCCTCGGTGGTTGAGAAAGTTGAGAAAGTGGAGAAGAATAAACGGGAATCGGTCACTTCGAAAGCCGAGCCGAAGTCGGCGACGACGGCTCCAAGCACCTCATCATCTACTCCATCCACTTCAACAACTTTAGCTTCAGCCACTTCACCAACTGCAGCCACTCCGCCCGTTCGAGTCTCCCGAGCCGGTCGCCCGCCGAAGAATGCCCGCATCAGCTTCGCCGTGACCACCACCAAGCCGACGCCCCCGTCGGGTGGCCACCAGGCCAGCACCAGCACCAGCACCAGCACCAGCAGTGGCCTTAGACACAGTCGTCACCCGAGCTGGACCATCGGCCAGCGCGTCGAGGCGCAGGACAGCCACGGCAACTGGTACCCCGCGAAGATCCTCGAGATGAAGGACCAGGAGCTGCTCATTCACTTTCAGCGGTGGAGGTAAGTGAACATCGAGAAACAGGAGGAGGGGTTTTTATTAGCATGATGACGCAATTCAGCTGAAACAGCTGACTAAATTCTGTGCTGCGACTTCGGCAGCAGCGGTGATAACGATGATGGGCGAGCGCGCCCTCCGCATCGATGCCGTCGCCTATCGATAGATATTCGCGTTTTTGTTTACTGCCTGCTTCGGTGCACGATGTTTACCACCAGCGCCTGCCGTCTTGCTAGCTAGCACTGCGAGAGCTTGTCTTTGAAGAAACCAGTTTGTTTCCTTCTCCATTAGCATTAAGTGCTCAGAACCGATTATTAGACTTCTTTCACCTGACTACTTTTCTGCTGCTGCTTCTGTTGTTTGGTGGCGGCGACTGTCTGTGTGTGAGGTAAGAACCCAGAAGCGCCGTAAACAATCGTCTTGGCGACGGTTCGCTTCAATCGATTTCTCTCTCTCTCTCTCTTTGACGGCCGGCTCTTTCCTCATCTCACTTTTCACATGCTCTGATTTGTTTTGCTCTTTTTGTTGCCGCCACCACTCCTAGAATCCTCTATTTATCTGTTGGAGGTAGTTTTAGAATCGTCTGCTCGCATTGCTATAAGCGCCAGTTTTATTTCACGCTCGCTATTGCTGTCTCATCTTTCACACCTTTGCTGTTGTTTTCCGACTCTCATTGACTCACATTTCATCATATCTTTTCTCCTCTCTTTCCGCTCCTAGCGCCCGCTTCGACGAGTGGTTCCCCATGGACTCTGACAAGGTTCGGGTGATCACCGAGTCGAGCAAGAGCAAAGAGGCGGAGAAGGCGTTTCAGGTGGGCGATGAGGTGCTCGCTCGATGGACCGATTCAAAGGTGAGTTCTTGTTCATTCTTTTTTCAGTGCTATTTCTATTTGACACCTTCCTCACCCTTCCCACTCTTCCAACTCCAACTCTAGTTCTACCCGGCAAAGATCATAAAGATAGTGGACGACAACTGCCACGTCTACTTCAACGACGGCTACCGAAAGAAGGTGAAGCTGGCGACGGTGGAGAAGATGCCGGCGGACTATGAGGGCGACCGACTGCCGCCGCCGGCGCCGCTGCCCAAGCCGCAGGCGGAGCCCTTTGCCGCCAATCCCACCAACCACAATGCCTTCATCTGTGACGTCTGCAGCAAGGGCTTTCGCAAGGAGAGGTGAGCTGCATTTCATTTTTAAATTTTTGATAAAAAATTGTTAACGTTTTTTACCTCTTTCCCCCAGCCTTCTACTGCAGCACAACAAGCACTACCACCCGACGGAGGAGAAGGGGGAGCGCCGCTCCTCCTCAACTCATCACCACCATCATCACCATAAGAGAACCGAAGTGACCTTTACTGTCACTGCCACCACTTCCGCCACTTCCACTCACACCCTAGTAGCCTCGAGTTCCACTGAGGACACCACTTATGATTCGAGCAGCAGCGGAGGGACGGGAATGACGGCGGTGGCCACATCTTCAACATCGGCATCAGCAGCCAACGGTGATCATCTGCCCACGGTTCAAGAGTCGCCTGAGGCGGGAAATGCCGCCGCAGCAGCAGCAGCAGCAGTTCCCGCAACTTCTGCTGCTGCTCAGTTACCATCATCAGCAGCAGCAGCGGCGGCACTTCCCGTCATTGCCGGTCTGCCCAGCAAGCGATCCACCAGCAGCACTCCCAGCGAACATGGACAACGAAAGCGACGGAGCAAGGGCGGCCGCCGGTCGCTGGCCGGCTCGCCCCTTCCGAAGCGCACCAAGAGCGGCGAGTTTATGGCCAGCGCCAACGCGGACCGGGCGGCGCCGCCCAGCGTCAATCCCTACTTCTACTACCCGGAGCCACGGGCGTCGACGGTGGTGGCTTCAAAGAGAGGAAGCTTCAGAGGCGGCTGGCACCATCATCAACATCAGCAGCAGCAGCCATTGCCGGACACGGTGCTGCCCTTTAACCCGCAGGACGCGCGCCTCATTGCGGACATGCACGAGAACGATGACATTGAGGAGATTGTCAAGTGCGTCTGTACGGTGCGCGAGGAGAACGGGCTGATGGTGCAGTGTGAGGTAAGTGGGAGAGAACTTTGAGGTAAAAACTTTGCTTTGTAAACTCATTTGTTTTGTTGTTTCCCTCTTTTCAGCACTGCCTCTCCTGGCAGCACGGCCTCTGCATGGGCTTCACCGCCGCCGAACAGGTCCCTGTGGATGGCTATGTAAGTGGTGTTGTTGTTGGGAAATAGAAGTGTCATTTTTATTCATTCTGTTTTTTCCATCATCACTACAGTTTTGCACGTTTTGCAAGCACCCGCCGAATGCCGTCCGCTCGCAGCGCCCCTCCTACCAGCTGAACCACAGCCTGAAGAAGGCCCTCAATCCGGTCTTTCTGCCGGAGTACCACGTGCCGGCGTCCCGGTCGCTGCCGCAGTATTATCACCACCACAATCATCAGCACCGACTGCAACAGCAGCAGCAGCTTCCTTACCCCCCACAACAACAGCAGCAGCCCCTGCCCCAGCAGGCCACATCGCAGGAGGAAGTGGTAGAGGTGGAGGTGGAAGAGGAGGTGGATGACGATGACCACCTCCACGTGAACTACTACTCGAAGGAGGACCTGGAGCAGGCGTCCAGTGTGCTCTCGGCGGCGGTGCTCGATGTGCTGCGGTGCTGGCACTCGATCACCGTGCAGATTGCCGAAAGTAGACGGGAGCGTGCCGCCGCCGCCGCCGCCGCCGCCGCCGCTGGCCAGCCGGCCAAGGAGGAGGAGAAGGAGGAGGAGAAAAAGGAAGAGGATGAGGCAAAAGAAGGCGAGGGGGAAGGAGAGAAGGCTGCCGAAGGCGAAAAGAAGGAGGACGAGAAGATGGAAGAGGACAAGAAGGAGAAAGAGGAGGAAGAGAAGAAGGAGGAGGAAAAGGTGGAAGAGGAGGAGGACGTGGACGGCATCGTCGATCCGGAGCTTCTCAGGCGACGAACTGATCTGGAGGTGCGCCTGGTGCTGATTCGGGCGAAGCTGGATAAGTTGGACGCGCTGATGGAGGCACAGGAGGCCCGGGACCTGCACACCAGCAGCTCCACGCTGACGGCCGCCTCGCCGGAGAACTATGGCGCCTTCAGTGTGCAGGAGGAGGTGGCGGCGGCGGCGGCCACCAGCACCACCACGCCCACAGGCCCACCGAACCACAACCACAGCCAGCAGTTGATGGTGGTGGGCGGTGGCGGCCTCGGTTCGGCCTTTGAGGCCTGTGCGCCCTCGACTGCTTCCGCTGTCGATGCAGCCGTAGCTGATGTAGCTCCTGCTACGACCACGACAACGGCAGCTCCTGATTCGGCTATCACCACTACCACGACCACCACTTCCACTGCAGCTACGGTTACCACTACTCCCACTTCCACTTCAGATGCAATCAAGTCTGATGATTCGGTGATTGGAAATGTAACTGGCGGTGGTGGTGGTGGTGGTAGCGGTAGCGGCTCGTCGACGACCACTACCGAAGTGAAAACTGAAGAGGAGGAAGCTACGACGACGACCACAACGACTACGATGACTCCCATGGCGGCGGTCGTTGATGCGACTGCAAGTGCAACAACACCGGTCGACAGCAGCAGCTCTGCAGCTGACCCTTCTGCAGCTTCTGCTGAGCAGTCTTCAGAGAAGTCCACCACCACCACCTCCGCTGAGGCCATTGTAAAGACTGAGGCCAGTGGAACTGTGGAGGCAGAAACACTAGCAGCAGCCGAAACATCATCAGCAACAACAGCCACAGCGGAGACATCATCAGAGCCGGCGAAGCAGGAGCCGTCGCCTCAGCAGGATCTTGCTCTGCCAAAGCCTGCAGAGAATCCTCCGCCGGCGGTTCCTCTTACCACTAGTCAAGAACCTCCTTCGGTTGGGCGAATACTGCCGCCTGTGGAGCAGCTGCCACCACCGCCGCCATCATTATCACCACCACCACCACCGTACCCCCAGGTGCCCCCCTCCCTCGGTCGGCTCTTCATTCCTCCCGGGCAGTACGGCGCCCTGGCGGCCGAGCTGGAGCCCCTCCGTCGGCAGCACCACCTCAGTCACCCGCGACCGAGCATGACCGCCGACTACCTGCCGCTGGCCATGGACGACGCCCACCTCAAGCTGGAGATTGCCTACCACCACAGGGACCTGAAGGTGGCCCGGGAGCTGGTGGCCAGCTTGAGGGCGGTCGGCGAGCGACGGTATGAGCTAAGATAAAGCGGGCGCACACGCGCACACATTACCAAACACACATTACCAAATCGCAGCAAACTCCAATGTTAAGCTCCTCGCGCGTGCCTAAGCACTGCTTTGCTAAATAATCCAAAACGATGCAATTCAAATGAATCTCTCTCACGCAAAAGAGGCAACAAATTATAAGAGTTCAGTCCTTNCACACTACCAAATCGCAGCAAACTCCAATGTTAAACCTCGCGCGTGCCTAAGCACTGCGTCGCTAAATAATCCAAAACGATGCAATTCAAATGAATTACTCTCTCACTCGCTTTCTCAAAAGAGGCAACAAATTATAAAAGTTCAGTCCTTTTAAAAATGTCAATGCTTTGCTATTTTAATTAATAATAATAATGATAAGAAAAGGATATTGATAAGAATTGAACAAGAGAGAGAGAGAGAGAGAGAGAGTAAGTATATATTAATGAGGGATGTGTAGGGGTGTGAATGCGAATATTCTACAAAAGTAATGACTACAAAAAGTTGGTGTGTGTGTGTGTGCAGCAAACGAAAAAGAAGAGTAAAGAGAAGAGGAAGCCATAATACTGATCATAAGGAGGAGGAGAAGGAAAATGATGAGTAGTAGGAAAGGTGTGACCGACCATCAAAGCTGCGCATAAGTGGAGGAGGTGTAAAAAGGTAAGAAGGTGAAAAAGAAGAAGTAGAAGAAAAGGAAATGAAATGAAATGAACAAAACAATGTAATGCCAAATAAATAAGAATTATGAGTGGGTGTCGACCGTGTTTGCCGATGGGATGAAGAAGGAGAAGTTGATGGCAGGAAGAGGAAGAAGTGGGGGTGAAACGAAATAAGGAAGGTAAGAAGAGAAGATGAATGAGGTAAGTGGGAGTGGTGGTGGTGGTGGTGGGCTGGGAAGGGCTCAATTTTTGGTTTGGGTTTTGGTTTTGCAGCAGCTCATGTGTATTTCTACTTTTTTTTCTTTGCAGGAAAACTTATTACGCAGTACTCTCCTCGGAGCTCTCGTCCTGAAAAACAATGGAGTTAGAAAAAGGCTTTCAGAAAAGGTTCAAGAAGAGAAAAGGACTTACCGGCTCAGTGGGGTAGAAGAAGATCTTGTCGACGGTGTCGGTGCCGTGCATGTTGCTGGCCGTGCAGGTGTACTTGCCCATGTCCTCGAAGGTGGCGTTGCGGATCAGCAGGTCGCCCGAGGGGAGGACGGCGTACTTGCTGGGCAGTGAAGTGGAGGACTCTTGGTCTGAAGAAGAAGATGAAGAGGAAGAGGAGGAAGCGGAAGTGGACAGCTCAATGGTCCTCTCATTGGCCAGCCAGCTGATGGCCGGCTTGGGACTTCCGGTCGCCCGACAGCGGATCACCACCTCCTGGCCGATGTTCTCCAGCACCGTCTGCGTCCACTCGTAGATGCGGGCCGGGGTGCCGCCGCCTGAAGAGAGGAGAAGAAGAAAAGAAGAGAGAAAGGAGAAGGTTAAAAGATAAGTTTGAAAAGTGTGGACTTTGCTCGGCTAAAGCTTCCGCTGCTAATATTAATCACTGCGTTTGCACTTCTTCTCCCTCTCTCTCGCTTTATTACACCTCTTTTTATCGAAGTCAGAATCAGCTGAAAGCGAAAACATCATCATCATCAACGGTGTTGATCAATCAGTGATAATGAGGAGGGTGAGCCATTGTGCAAGACAACACTAGAGAGGGTGATGGTTTGTTCAGTACAGTTTGGCAGCTGATGCTGTTGAGGTGCTTCTTGTGCACATCATCACCCCACAAATCACTGCCGTGGTGGTGGTGGTGATATGCTGGCAAATTTGGACACGTATTTCATAATGGCCACGACGACGTTCAGCTAAATTGATGGGCGCTCTGGAGCACGACGACGACGACGACTACGTGGAGCACTAACCTTGAAAATCCCCAATGTCCTTTAGACGGTGGTGGCAAAACTGAAGAAAGACAGTGATTGCAAAACTTTTGATTGTGGTGGTGCTGGTGGTGGTGGTGGTGGTGAGAACAAGAAAAAAGAAGAACAAAAGCGCACCCCCTCCTCCCTTTTCCCCAGTCTGAACCAGTGGTGGTGGTGACAGTGATGGGGTGATATCTCACCGAAATGAGAGGTACCATCACCATCACCACTTATCACCACTCACCACTCTTTGTCACGGAGAAGGAACGAAACGAAACGAAGACAAGACATAAGTGGGAGCCAATTGCCGACAATCAAAGGGAGGGAATGGAAAGGGGAAGATACCGGTGTCATGAAGTCACATGAACAAAAAGAGGACGGTGGCGATTGTACGGCAAAGCAAAGCAAAGCAAAGCAAAGAAGAAGTGGTAGAAGTCTAGCCTAAAGTGCAAAACGATGTCTTCCTACGATCTCTCACGCTCAAAAATCCTCAAAGCTTCAAAAAGAAGGAAAAAGTACAACACTTACCGAGCAGCTTCCTCTCCTGGCAGCGGGCCCTCGCCAGGTCCATCTCGCTGACCGCCTTCACCCGACTGTCAATTGCGTTTCCCCCAAAGGTCTCCTCCTCTCGGGCAATTGAACTGAAGGGAACTGTCCTCAGCGTGGTGATGGCGGCCACTCGCTGGTGCTCGCTGCTGCCGACGCACTTGTACTCGCCCTGCTGGGCGGGCGTCAGGCAGTCGAGGAAGAGGCGACTCTTGATCATGCTCAGCTTGATGCCCGAGTGGGCGGCGTGGGAAATGGAGTGAGGGTGAGCTGGATGGGCAGAAGAACTGCTGCCGCCCAGAACGCTTCGACGGACGCTCTCCTCGATGTCGGCGGTGCTCTAGGAAGAAAGTGAGAAGTTTTAGGACGTTTTTAAGAAGAAACACTTGAAGAAGGCTTACCTGGTACACCCGCTCGCCGTTTCGCTCCCAGTGGACGCGAGGCAGCGGACTGCCGCTCACCTCACACTCGAGCACGTAGCGGGAGTTCTCCATCAGCGCCACCTCAACAGGTGGTCGCGACTTGAAGACGAGGTAGGCCTCGGCCAGCATGGGACTCTTCTTTCCTGAACTTTGACTGTTGCTGCTGCTAACCTTGGCCTGCTCCGCCGATTCGCTGATGGTGCTCGAGCCGGCGCCGGTGTTGCTCGAGATGGAGTTTTCGGGGAGTTTGTCCTGCAAAATAGAGGAAAATTTTATGAGAAAAGCTTGAAGATTTGAAGGTTTTTTTGACTTACCCGAGTGGCACGAAGAAAGTACTCTGAGAAGCCTCGTGGACTGAGGACCGGGCCCAGGCGGTGGCTGAAGCGAGCGGTCATCGCCGGTTGCGGCGGTGGCAGCGGATTTGCACTGCTCTTGAAGACATTGCCGCCATTGACATTGCCATTGGCACTGTTGATGGGACTGCAGTGGACGCCTGAATGGGAATGATGGGGGCCGAAAGTGGTGGCCAGGAGGAGGAGGAGGAGGAAGGTGGTGGTGGTGGCCAGCGTGGCCAGGCCAGCAAACATCGGTTGTCTGCTGTTCATTGTGAGGCTGAAGATATTGGTTTTAAATAGCTTCAAGAGAAGGGGAAGTTCTGTGAAGAGGAAGGAAGGTCAGAATCTGAAGTAGAATCGCAAGAATTGCAGAATGCTAAAAGAAGTGCTGAGAATCGGCCTTTAAATAGCCACCACTGCAACTGCTGCCACAGCACCTCAAACTCTTCAACGAAGCTACAAGAAAAAAAGTCTCCTGAGGCACAAATTGAAGAGCTAAGCTGGCTCTAGCACTGCATTGCCTAAATTTTTTTTATCTCTAAAGGCCAGCAGGCTCTTCAGACAGACAGACAGAAAGGCACAGTAAAGATCGGTGATAAACCGCTGGAGAGAGGACATCGTCAGTGCATCACCCCCTTTAGGCTATCACCTCATTTCTTTGCGGCCTCTTCTTCGTCTTTTGCACCAGTTCACCTCAATATCAGCATCCGCCGATCGCAAGCTGTAGTAGTAGTAGTAGTAGAGATGATTACTACCACTACTACCACTTCTTGTGAAATCATCATCATCGTCTCCTTTGATTTTTTTCTCAACGAAGAAGCTAATTGAATGAGCAGCAGCAGGTGAATGACTGCCAAAGGGCTCTCTACACAGTTTTACGGCAAAACTCTGTGCGCAACTCCACTAATCGTTACTAATACGTTTTAAAAGGGGGGGGGACTGCAATAACAGAGAAGAAGAGGATCGCCTCTGGCAATCGTTTTTGATTCAGTGTCCAGCGTCAATGAAAGGAGTGCAATAACGAGAGAGGTGATAAGAGGAAGAAGAGGAGGGAGGTGGTGATCATCACCACCGTCACCACCACCACCACCACCACCGGTCTTCACCGGTGGCATTGCAGTGGTAAGTGGTATGAATGGAACTTTTCATTCAGTTTCTTTCCTCTTTCTTTTTTCCTCCTCCTCCTCCTCCTCCTATCTGTCTGTCAGGTCCTGTCAACTAACTGTCAAGATTATCAGAAGTGGCGACAGCGCGCACAAACTACCACTACCGCTACTGCTGCTGGGCGGAAAACGGAAATGGCTGGGAAAATACTGAAAATGGCAAAGAAGGGGAAACTTACCAAGGAGAGAATAATTCAAGAGAAAAAAATAAGTTGATAAAAAATCTGATGATAACTTGAAGACTGGAGAGGCGGCACACAACAGGTGCAACAAAGTGTAAAAAAGAATTCGAATAGCAAAGAAGAATAAT